GAGCAATTCATGCAAAATGCCACATAATCCCAAGGGGTTCACATACTTTTTCCTCCCTGCACTGTGAATGTTTACATGTTATGTTCAATTAAACTATGGCAACATCTTATGTTTGTGTAGTGTTATGTTCAGCAGACTGTGTTTTTCTATTGTTGTGACTTAAATGAAGTTCAGAGCACATTTTATGAGCAATTCATGCAAAATGCCACATAATCCCAAGGGGTTCACATACTTTTTCCTCCCTGCACTGTGAATGTTTACATGTTATGTTCAATTAAACTATGGCAACATCTTATGTTTGTGTAGTATTATGTTCAGCAGACTGTGTTTTTCTATTGTTGTGACTTAAATGAAGTTCAGAGCACATTTTATGAGCAATTCATGCAAAATGCCACATAATCCCAAGGGGTTCACATACTTTTTCCTCCCTGCACTGTGAATGTTTACATGTTATGTTCAATTAAACTATGGCAACATCTTATGTTTGTGTAGTATTATGTTCAGCAGACTGTGTTTTTCTATTGTTGTGACTTAAATGAAGTTCAGAGCACATTTTATGACCAATTCATGCAAAACTCCACGTAATCCCAAGGGGTTCACATACTTTTTCTTGCAACTGTAGATAGGCCATCACTAAGATGCCAGGGCCTTTCTGCTGCCAGCCTGCTGAGGCTGCAGGCTCCTGCTCCCAGAGCCGCTCTCTGACTGGCAGCCACTCCTGCTGCAGCTCCCAGAGGTGCCACTTCAACCTACTTCCCTGTGCCAGGAGAGCGTGTGAGTGAGGCAGCTGCCCAGGAGGGCCTCACCTTCCGCGGTGTCACACGGGTCTCCCGGGGAGGTAGGATAGGGAGAGAGAGGCCGCCTGGCCGGGGAGGAAGAGAGGGAGGCTAGGTGAGCAGGCAGCCGTGCAAGGCAAAGAGTGGCTGGGAGGGGCGTGGTGTGGCAAGGCATGCTATTCAGCTGGTTCGCAAAACTGCACAAAAGGTTCTACTGTGGTTCTACACACAGAGCGGGTGGATTGACCAGTTGACGGGTGAGTGTCTTTGGTGAGGACACTCCGGCTTTCTCTGAGCTTGATCCCCGGGGTGGGCGTGTGAGGTTCAGGGGGCCAGACCCCTTTTCCTGCTACACTGAGCTTCTTTACTCCTCTAGGTGAGCAGTGCCACCGCCAGCGTTGATTGAAAAGCGTCCTCCGGGCGGCGAAAGTCCCCTGTGAGAGATTTAAAGGAGGACACTTTTCGATCAATACCATTGGCGTCACTGCTCCACTCACTTGCGGAAGGTATCCCTGCTTGTGTGTGCACCCGCGCGTGAGAGAGAGATGAGAGAGAGAAAAGAGGAGAAAAAGAGAGAAATGAGAGACAGCTGGAGGGAGAGAATGAGAGAGAGGAAAAAGAGAGAAACAAATGAGAGAGAGAGAAGGGGGGAGAGAAATGAGAAAGAGCTGGAGAGAGAATGAGAGAGGGAAAAGAGAGGGAAACAAATGAGAAAATGATGAAGGGAGAGAATGAGAGAAAGGAAAAAGAGATAAACAAATGAGACAGAGAAGAGGGAGAAAGAAAGAAAGAGAAAGAGAGGGAGAGGAAAAAGAGAAAAACAGAAAGGGAGAGAGAGAGAGAGAGAGAGAGAGAGACCCATTTCCCACAGAAAACACTAAGAGCCACAACATCTGGGTAGGCGTGGCTGGGGGGGGGTCATGTGACTGGGTAGGAGTGACAAGTTGGCCACGCCTACCCAGGTTTTAGAGGTACGTGGTGGCTCAGTGGCTAAGACGCTCAGCTTGTCGATCAGAAAGGTCAGCAGTTCAGTGGTTCGAATCCCTAGTGCTGCGTAATGGAGTGAGCTCCCATTACTTGTGCCAGCTTCTGCCAACCTAGCAGTTCAAAAGCATGTAAAAATGCAAGTAGAAAAATAGGAACCACCTTTGGTGGGAAGCTAACAGCGTTCCGTGCGCCTTTGGTGTTTAGTCATGCCGGCCACATGACTACGGAGACGTCTTTGGACAGTGCTGGCTCTTTGGCTTTGAAACGGAGATGAGCACTGCCCTCTAGAGTTGGGAAGGACTAGCACATATCTGTGAGGGGAACCTTTACCTTTACCTTTACCCAGGTTTTGTGGCTCCCGGTGTTTTCTGTGGGAAATGGGTCCAAATGGCTCTTTTGAGTGTTTAAGGTTGCAGGCCCCTGGATTAGCCAATCGTATTTTAATGAAGTCAATGTTTTAGTTTTGATAGTGTTGTGCAAACCCACAACATAATTTGAATTTGTTAAGTAAATCAAAATTAACCATGGGACAGTATATTGTGTGAATATAGCAAGAGGCATTGGGAAGAATTAATCCCAAGTATATCAGCATTAACGCAGATGGGTAAAATCATGTAAGAAAGCAGAAAAGTTTCAAAAGAAACTAAAGCAGTGGTCTCCAACCTTTCCGGCTCAGTGGACTGGTGGTGGCAGTGGTAAGGGGGAGAGAGAATCGTTTTGTGCATGCAAGCACTGTTTTCACTAATGAAGCTTTGTGCGCACACATGCACTCACCCACCACTTCCACAGTCCGATTCCAAATGGGCTGCAGACTGGCAGAGGGTTGCAAACAGGGGGTTGGGGACCCATGGGCTAGAGTACAAAG